AACCAAATGGTCAAGTGTGATCCACGTCATGGAAAGTACATGGCCTGCTGTCTTCTTTATCGTGGTGATGTTGTACCTAAAGATGTGAATGCAGCCATTGCTACAATCAAGACGAAGCGTACAATTCAGTTTGTTGATTGGTGTCCCACCGGATTCAAGGTTGGCATCAACTATCAGCCTCCTACAGTTGTTCCTGGGGGTGATCTTGCTAAAGTCCAGCGTGCAGTTTGTATGTTGTCTAATACTACTGCCATTGCTGAGGCTTGGGCTCGTCTTGATCACAAGTTTGATCTGATGTATGCCAAGCGTGCCTTTGTCCACTGGTATGTAGGTGAAGGAATGGAAGAGGGAGAGTTCGGAGAGGCTCGTGAGGATCTAGCAGCTCTTGAGAAGGACTATGAAGAGGTTGGCGTGGATTCAGTTGAGGCTGAGGGAGAAGAAGAAGGTGATGAGTATTAAGAGCATTAGAGATTGCATTAAAGGAACAATCACAGTACAATCATTATCCTTATTGTTACTTTGTGTTGTTTGATGTATGTAAAAAAATAGTTTAGAAACTATGTATAGTGAAGATTCATTATTATTGGAGGTATGGTGCAGTGGTAGAGCAACAAGATTCATGACAGAATCTTCTTGAATTAGATTTATGAGATGAGGTTTGCAACCCTCTAGGGTGGGGCTGGTAACTTAAAAGAAAAGGGCGGGGCTCATTACTTTGTGCTGTAAACAGTAGGCAAGATGTATCTTCAACTCTCCTTTCTCTTATTAGCCCTTTTACATAGTAAGAGCAACTTTTTTAATGATAATAAATAAAAATGTGTTTTCATTAGATGGTGTGTGCGTGTTGAATGATGAGCCTGTTGGTGGGACAGTGCTTCTTAATCAAGGGTTCACCATGTCATGTTCCTTCCATCCTCCGTTACCTCTTACTGTGGTCTGGTTTAAAGACTCGGAAGAGAGAGGTACGGATTTCGGTGGGACTAGGATCAACATTACATATAACGCAGCCAGTGGTGTTAGCACATACGCTTTCTCAGATGCAACGTATGATGATGCTGGTGACTACTCTTGTGAGTCTAGGGACGAGAACAGTCAGCCTATAGATACAAGCGATGAAGCCACCATAGTGGTCCATGGTACTCCCATGTTTGGGAATCTCTTACAGGCATCAACAGTTTCTGTTGGAGGCTCAGCACAATTCACTTGCAGCGTAGAAGCAGTCCCTACTGCAACAATAACTTGGAGCTTTAACGGACAAACGCTAACTACTGGTGGACAGTATGTTGTGGCCGGTATAACACTCATCATTTCTAATGTACAAATGTCAAATGATGGATTCTACAAATGCACTGCTACAAATACTTACGGAACTAATTCAACTTCTGCTAGACTAACAGTTACAGGTAAAATCTCTCTAGTTCTTTTTCCTCTAGTGTTTGTTGCCTTGTTTCTTTATTCTGTAGCTTCTCCAGTCAATCCAACTGTGACAATAACAGAAGGATCTCAACTCACAGTTGGACAAGGAGGCTCTACCATACTCCATTGCACCGTGGATGGTGATAATATTGCTTTTATACGCTGGGTTAAATCAGGGTAAGATAGCCACAAATAAATTTAAAAATATCATGATAATTTGATAGAACTGGTGAACTGACAATTGGAGTTTCTAAATCATCAGATGGTGCTACGTTAACATTGTCTAATGTAGCAACAAGTGATGCAGGTACCTACACTTGTACTGCTAGTACTACTGAAAATGGATTTGGCTCTGACAGTATTACAGTTACTGTTGTTGGTGAGGAAATTATCTTCACTAAATCCTTTTTAATCCTGCTCTCTCTCTCTCCTATATAGCATTACCACAGATTTCAATTAGTCCTAGCTCAGCTACTAAACTGTCTGGTGAAACACTGGGTTTATCAGAAGCTCCAATATGCTCACTAACAAGTGGTACTCAAGGAGATATTGTGTGGAGAGCTCCCTCTGGAGTTGAGGCAAGATATCAGTTGCTGTTTCTTTCATATTAGCTATTGTTATAACTTGCAGGTACCACAAATCGCAGGCCAAATGAATATAGCAAGGCCACTGACTGTGAGTGATGATGGAACATATCAATGTGTAGCAGCTAATCTTGCTGGGACTACAACACAGACTTTTACACTAACAGTCAATGGTAAATGCAATATATAATAATGCTTACAATTATGTTATTATTTTTCTATAGCTTTTCCAACATTTACCACCAAACCAGCTGACATTAAGATAAGCTATGGGCAGAATATTTTCCTACCTTGTCAAGCAACTGGTAATCCAGCTCCATCTGTCTCGTGGTCAAAAACTGGAGATCCTCTACAGCAGCAGAGCGTTAAACTACCCGATGGTCTCCAGCTGTACAGTGTCGCTAGCAGTGATCAAGGAACTTATACTTGTACTGCTGTTAATTCAGTTGGAACCAATTCAACATCAGCAGTTATTACAGTTACAAGTATGAGTCTCATTAGTACAAACATGATTCATTTTCTCATTATAGTTCCTCCACACATCAACTCTATAGTCCCAAGCAGAGACTACTATGTTAATCTTGGTGACGGGATCACCATTAGCTGCAATGTGAGCTCTCAGCCAGGCTCCACTGTTGTGTGGTATCACAATGGGACGGTCATTCCTCAGAGCGGGAGAGTGCAAAGACTCCAGCTGTCATCTTCTCTTTGGTCACTCTCCATTGCTGGATCAACGTATGAGGATGGTGGCATCTATACTTGCAACATTACAAATACTTTTGTGTTTGATTTTGTGTCATTGAATGTGATTGTAGGAAGTAAGTGAAAAGAAAATTGAAAATTTATTTATTTGTCTCTTTTTTTAAAGTTAAGACTGCTATCATTAGCGGCCCGTCTGATCTTAATGTGACGCAAAATCAGGAAGTGTTTCTCCCATGTCATGCTAACGGTATTCCACAGCCAACAATAAACTGGTACAAGACGGAGGAAACAGAATCGATTGACAACGAAACACAACTAGCAACATTTGGTAATTTAATGTCATGTAGAAATTCTGAGGTCCATATAGTTCCTACTTTATCTGTTCTTATGCTACGCTTCAATTTTTTGAGGGTATTTTGTCCAAAAATGACTTCAAAAAATTTTTAATGCATAAGTTTGAACTGATTCAAATAGTATCTTCTCCTATAGGGTTCTCTTACAGGATTGAGTCAACTGGTCTAAGACTTTTAAGTACCCAGAGGGATGACTCTGGCTATTATCGCTGTCTTGCTGATAATCAAGTTGGTACTGACAGTCAATCAGTGAGAGTAAGGGTAGAAGGTAAGAGAGTTATCATAATTACACTACATAATAAGTACAAAATCTTTCTATTCAGGTCCTCCAATGGCAGTAAGTATATCCCCAACTCTCTTCATTGCTGGAACCACTGCTTATATCAATTGTCAAATATTCTACGACTTCCCTCAGTCAACCTTTCAGTGGTATGACGCTGCTACCAATGCTCTCTTCCTCCCACCACGCTTCACTACACTGTCCAATGGGACTCTCATTGTTTCTCCTATTGAAGGAAGCGACCACAAGGAGTACCTGTGTAGCGCTAGCAATCAATACGGAACCTCTTCAGTCTCTCAGTTCATCACTGTGCATGTTCATCCTCAGCCTGGCTTTTCAGAAAGCAATGGAGTCTTTGGTATCTTGGATGACAGTTTTTCCTTCTCTTGTACTGCCACTGGTAGACCCAGTCCAACATTAGCACTGTACACTCCTGATGGAGGAGAAGCAGACTCAACAATGGTAAGTAGAAATTAAACATTGAAACGATTCTATTTTTACTTATGTATCTTTAGTTTGATCCTAGTACGGGTACATTCACTACAACTAGTTTCCAGGTGATTCACTCCGGTTCATACAACTGTGAAGCTACTAATATAGTTGGAGCGACGAACGCTACCCTTGAGGTCGGGATAAGGGGTGCTCCCCCTCGTCTCCCTGCAGTCAACCCTCTAGGATCAAGAGAAATGAGAGTAGCATGGAATGGCCCAGAGCCGGAACTTGCTGGACAGTTGCTCTCGTACGTCTTAAGTTATGGCATCTCAGATCTCTCTGAGAGGATTGTTGTCAATTCAATTGGGACATCCGCTTTCATCAGTGACCTTGAGGAGTATACTGAGTACCTGTTTGAGATTAGAGGGGTGTATGCTGGTGGGGTAGAAGGCCTGAGTATTAATGCAACTGGAGTCACGCTTGAAGCTGGTAAGAGAGCAGGAAGTGAGAATTGCTGTATACAATTTTTGGTTTTTTTTTTGTTTTAGCTCCTTCTGGTTCACCACGTAACATCTCACTAGTTTCACTCACTGAAGCACTAGAAGTTTCCTGGACTGTAAGTTGCCTCTAAAAATCAAGAATCATAATAATTATCTTTTGATATTTTTATAGTCACTTGAGCGGTTTGATCAGAATGGCATTATACTCAATTACACTATTTATTATCGCGAGACTCCAGATAACTCCTCTGCTGCACAGAACTATACTTCAATCACTTATGTTGTGCCTCCCACTCACTCTGAGGATGACGAACCATTCAGTGCCACTATTAGTGACCTTAAAGGAGGCAAATCTTATGATGTAAAAATGCAAGCACACACAGCAGTTGGAGGAGGACCAAACAGCACTGTAGTGAGGCTAGAAACTATGAGAGGTAAGAATTAAAGATTATTTTTACTTTTTTTATTTTTAATTTTCTTGCAGCATTTCCATTGGTTCTCGTTCTCTCCATCACAATACCTGTCGTTGTCATAGCCCTTGTTGCCCTTGGGGTTCTACTTATTTTCTTACTTCGGAAGTGTTATATAAAGATAAAGAAAGCAAGGCTTTACTCTCCAAAGAAAGGAGAAGCTGCTTACGGCAAGAAGAAGAAAAAGGGCGGAAAGAAATCTAAAGCAGAGTAAGCCATTTTAGTTTAAATCTTCATTCTCTTCTTTTGCTCTGTCTGTAGTGTTAGTAATCCAGTGCCTGATATTCCTCCTAAAGTTGATGGTTCCTCAAAAGGAAAGTTTAGCTTAAGACGAGCTGATGGCTCCACTGTGCCTTCCAATCCAAGAGTATGCAATCACTTAATACACAAGCACATTATACACAAGCACATAATTTTTTTTGCTGCACGAGTAGTTTTTAAATAATGCACTTCTTTGTTCTTCCTTTATTCCCAGGTCATACAGCCAGGAGATGTTGCAAAGAAGAAGAAATCTGGAGCAAAAGTCGTCTCTGTCAAAAACAAAAGGGAATCAGTTCTATCTAGCGAGTGAGTATAAAAATTAAAAATACTATTTTACTCCTTTTTTAATAAGGTTTGATCCATATGATGATCCAGATGAAGTAACACAGACCAGACGTCCTAAGAAACCCAAGCAAGGCCGGGAAGGGTTTGCACCGAGAGACAGCCAGTCAGAAATATACGAGAGGCCAGCTGACCCCAAACCAAAGAAGAAGAAAGAGTCGGTAGCCAGTTTTATATATGATGATAATATTGTAGAGGAAGATGAGGAATCACTAGTTGAAATGGTAAGGAAATAAAGTGAATGGAAAATAAATAGGAGCATGTATATGTACATGCTTATATGCATTTTTTTGTGTGTACAGCCAATTGTCATTAAACCAAAGCATGGGAAGGAAGGAGAAGAAGAGAGTGACGACGAAGAGATAAAGGTAAATATTTTAATAAAAAGTTACATAATGGATTATGTTTGCTTAGCCTGTTGTAATAAAACCAAAGCATGGAAAACAAGCAAAGCAAGAAGAGGAGGAAAGTGATGAAGAGCTGAAGGTAATAATAATAATAATAATAATAATAATAATAATAATAATAATAATAATAATAATAATAATAATGGAATTATAATTGCAATTTAATGTACTTATAGCCTGTTGTGATAAAACCAAAGCATGGTAAGGGAGCAGCACAAGATGATGAGGAGAGCGATGAAGAGCTTAAGGTAATGCAATACTAAATTTATTTTTAATTTTATTCTTTTGCTACACAAGCCTGTTGTAATAAAACCAAAGCATGGGAAGCAAGCAGCACAAGAGGAAGACGAAAGTGATGAAGAAATTAAAGTATAAAATTATACGATTACCGGCATATAATTTATTTTCTGCATATGCCACAAACAGCCTGTAGTCATCAAACCAAAGCATCCAGCCCAGAAGAGAAAACAGCAACAAGATGATGATGATGATGATGATGATGATTTACCAAAGGTAAGAAATTCTGTGAACAACAGAGTCAAAAATCTGCGTGAATATTATCATACATTATGTGCACAAATGTGTTATGGATAGTATCATTATGTCATCTTGTTTGTAGCCTGTTACCATTCAGCCTAGACATGCAAAGAGAGGTCAGCAGGAGGCACCAGTGAAAAGACGTAAGCAATTAGAGGTGGTTGAAGAGTCAGATGAGGAGGAGGAGGAATCTGAAGAGGAAGAGGAACAAGAAGAGACTGAGGATGATCAAAAGCAGATCTATTCTCGTGTCCCACCTGCTCACATTCAAAAGAAACGCACGAAAATGCTCAAAGAGAAAATGAAAGCAGATGAGAAGAAAAGAAAAGAGAAAGAGAAAATAATGGCTAAGATGAGGAAAGAGAAAGAGAAGGCCAGGAAGAAGGCCGCGAAACAGAAGAAGAAACAAATGGGGACTCAGCTTAAGAGACAGTCCCAGAGTGAATTGAGGAGACAGTCACTTGGTTTGGATAACATTATGTCAATGAGAGACATGAACACAAGACCACAAATGGGAAGACAACTGAGATACTCAATGGATTACTCCAGTGCCGGCATGTTTTAATGCACAAACTTAAAACTATTAACACAGCACACGAAATACTGATACTATTATAGTGCTTTGTCACTTCATTTTTATGACCTTTTTCTCTTTATACACTTTAAGGCTATCTAAACATTATGTCCTTGCAACATTTTATAAAAGAATAATTACAGTGGTACAAAATCATTAAAAAATTAGGTAATACACAAAAACTAGAGGAGGTTTATTAAAAATTCAAAAAAATTGAATTGGACTTATTATGAATTTTTAAAGTTGCTCAAGAATTGAGCAAGAGTCCCTGTACTATAGTACAGGGTTGTTGGCCAAATTTCGTCAAAAATGACTAGAAAAAAATTTCACATTTTAATAATTTTTTTCTGATGCATATACATCTACTTATGTTGTAGTTTAAGTTTGAGCTGATTCTGATCAAATTTGGATTTTTTATGAATTTTTTAAACTTGTTCAAAAATCGGGCCAAAGTCCCTGTACTATAGTACAGGGTTATTGGCCAAATTTCACCAAAAATGACTAAGAGAGAATTCTGCATTTTTATAATTTTTCTAAAACATATACATGTACTTATACTGAATATCAAGTTTGAGTTGATTCCGATCAAAATTGAATTTTTTATGAATTTTTAAAGTTGCTCAAAAATTGGGCAAAAGTCCCTGTACTATAGTACAGGGTTGTTGGCCAAATTTCACCAAAAATGACCAGAAGAGAATTCTGCATTTTAATAATTTTTTCTGATACATATGCATGTAATTATGCTGTATATCAAGTTTGAGTTGATTCCAATCAAAATTAGATTTTTTATGAATTTTTAAAGTTGTTCAAAAGTCCAGCAATAGTTCCTGTGCAATAAAAAAAAATAAAAAAATAAGAAAAATAAAAATAAATTAAAAATAATAACAAAAAAATTAAAAAATAAAAAACAAAATTAAAAAAAAGAATTAAAAAATTATTTTAATTAAAAAAATAAAAATAAATTAGAAAATAAAAAAATAACAAAATTAAAAATTTAAAAAAAGTAAAAAATTAAATAGATAATTATTTAAAAATATAAAATAAAAAAATAAAAGTAAAATAAAATAAAAAATAAAATAAAATAAAAAATAAAAATTGAAAAAATTAAAATGTAAAAAATAAAAAAAATTTTTTTAATAATAAATAAAAAACAAAACAAAAAATTAATAGAGTCTAAATAATAAAAATTGAAAAAAAAAGAATAAAGATATAAAAAATAAAATAAAAAGTTAAAATAGGGAATTTTTTTTAATTAATAAATATAAAATATAAAATTGAAAAAAATTTAAAAGATTAAAAAATATATAAAATATAAAATAAATTTTAAAAAATGAATTAAATAAATTAAGTAAAAAATTAAAGAAAAAAATTAAATAAAAATTAAAAAATACAAAAAAACAAAATAGAAATAAAATGAAATAAAGTAAAAATAAAATAAAATAAGAACTGAAAAAATTTTTTTAATATAAAATATAATTTGAAATTTTTTTAAATTAAAGAAATAAAAAATCCCATTAAAATTAAAAATAAATAAATAAATAAATAGAAATAAAAGAAAATAAAAATAAAATAGAAAAAAAATAAAATAAAAATAAAAATTGAATAAAATTAAAATATATATATATATATGCATATATATATATATAAAATATTGTTATTGTTATTGTTGTAAATAAATAATAATAATAATAATAATAATAATAATAATAATAAATAAATAAAATACAATAAAATAAAAACTAAAAATTTAAATATTAAAAAATATAAAAGATAAACATTAAAAAATTTAAAAAAATTTTAAATAAAAATATATAAAATAAGAAATAAAAAAATTAATAGGAATAAATTAAAAATAAAATAAAAATAAAATAATATAGTACACGGTTGTTGGTCAAATTTTGTCGAAAATGGCTAAGTGAAAATATCGCATTTTAATTTTTTGATACATATCCATGTACTTATGTTGTATATCAAGTTTGAGTTGATTTCAATCAAAATTGGATTTTTATGAACTTTTTAAGTGTCTCAAAAATTGGTCCAAAGGCCCTGTAAAATTATGATGATACAAAATCATAAAAAATTCACAAGTAATATACAAAAACTAGAGGTTCATTAAAAGTTCAAAAAACTCGAATGCTGTTAGTCCTAGTGTCTACCAACCCATCATCCAATGTCAGTACAAACTATAGCAATGTAAGATTCATAATGAATGAAATATTAAAAACCATATACTTACCAAAAATGAGAAAAAGAGAGCAATAGAAGACAAGAAATGCCATATGTCGTGATTATCGTAGAAATCAAGTAACTTGCAATCTTTGTTGTCCTCTCTAGAGATGGCAGGTGTGTTCTGAGTGAACGAAAACCTTATCATGATCGTAGCAAATTATTCCGGGCTTACCTCCCACTGGGCCACATTCGTAAAATAAAAATAAAAAGCACACGCCCAGCAAATACCAATTGTTACCAAGTAAATGAATGGACTTATTGTCCACGGTTCTTTAAAATACAACTAGAGAGAGAGAGAGAGAGAGAGAGTGAGAGTGAGAGTGAAATAATGTATTGTCTTATTACCTTTGAAAAGAGATAAATGGTAATATATAAAAACGAATTAGCGACAAAAAGAGCTAGGATAATCGTAGCCACACCTTTTCCTGTAAAAATCATGATGAGGCCGCTATTGAAAAAGAACATAAAGCCACACCCATATTATAACTAATTAATTAAACTTACACGATAAAATTAACTACAACCATTGATATTGCTTTAACAAAACGAATCTAAAAAATTTAAAAACATCACAGCTATACTCAAATTAAAAATTCTCACCAAGTCTCTGGGACTATATTTTTTATAAGGACACCAACTTCTGAACCATTGACGAACCTTACCCCAGATCCTGCAGTCTATAAACTGATAAAAGTGGGTCTGTACTAAAATGGCTGGACTCACAATAAAAATAGTTCAAACCCCAGTCGTGATAAAAATAGAACGAAATGCTAAAAATAGTAACGGCGATCATTACTAGAACGAGAAGGATTATTCGCGTTGACCAATATCGTGAAGAATTTTCATACTAAAAAAAGAAAATAAAATATATTTTGTAAAAGTAAAAGTGCTTACAATCCCAATAAGTGTCAGGACTATAATGACAGCAAAACTCAGAAATGCAACAAAAGCATTCGTGTGAATGTCAGGATGCCTGGCCTGAAATATAATCAGCATCAGTAACCCACCGATTATATACATGAATGCTGTATCTGGATATTTTAACAGAAAAATAATTATCAAAAATAATATCAATAAATTAATATAAATATTTATTGTTCTCACCAAATTGGAAGTTACTGTCGTTTGGACAAATGTGATAAAATGAGCTCATGAGTCCTTGCATTATTAGAGTCACGCCTGCAAAGAGGTGGGGCCAGTTATTAATAATTGTTAATTAACTAGACAAACCCATTGCATAGTAGATCCCGTAGAATTGTGGGACACCATAATCCTAAAAAATTTGATCGGTTATTGTTTATACTGAATACATTTTGTATTACTTTCTTCCTTTTCCTAAAACAAAAAGCACTCCTCACTTGAACCTCATCATCACCACCTATTGGCTCGTAACCTTCCCTTCCATTGGCTCTGCGATTCCACAAATGTCTAAAGCATCAGAGCGTGAGCAATGCATTAACAGAAATCAAATCATCATTAAAGTAGTGTTAATAAGCCTGTCAAGTGTGCGTTAACTCATTGCTTACCTGATTCCAACTATTATTATGAAAAAGGTTCCAAATATGATGTAACCAATATTACTCCAAGTATTATTGAAGGCACTACAGATAGAAAAGGTGACAAGATGTTACAAATAGCACATGAAAAATTGACATTATGTGCAGTACATGTATCACAAATACCTGAGGACTCCCCATGTACGCGAGCACTTGAAATTATAATAACAAGTATCTTGATCTCCAGTGGAATTCAAAATCTAAAAACACAACTTTCATCTTTAAAAATTCATTAAAAATCCAATTATAATCTGAATGAGCTCAAACTTGATATACAGCATAAAAACATGTATATGTATCAGAAAAAATTATAAAAATGTAGAATTCTCTCATAGCCATTTTTGGCGAAATTTGGCCAACGACCCTGTACTATAGTACAGGGATTTTGGCCCAATTTTTGAGGAATTTTTAAAAATTCATAAAAAATAGAAATTCAATCAGAATCTGCTCAAACTTGATATACAACATAAAAACATGTATATGTATCAGAAAAAATATTAAAATGCAGAATTCTCTTCTAGTCATTTTTGGCGAAATTTGGCCAACGACCCTGTACTATATAGTACAGGGACTTTGGCCCAATTTTGGAGCAACTTTAAAAATTCATAAAAAAATCCAAACTTGATCAGAACCAGCTCAAACTTGATATATAGCATAAGAACATGTATATGTATTAGAAAAAAATTATAAAATGCAGAATTCTCTTCTAGTCATTTTTGGCGAAATTTGGCCAATGACCCTGTACTATAGTACAGGGACTTTGGCCCAATTTTGGAGCAACTTTAAAAACTTGTAAAAAATCAAATTTTGATTGGAATCAGCTCAAACTTTCTACATAACATAAGTACATGTATATCTCAAAACAACTGATATACACATTTATTATACAACGTATATACCATCTGTTCAGCAAGAAGTAGTTGAAATGCTGGCAGACCATAAAATATTCCAACTGTAATGGTGTTCCTAGAAAAAGAAGAGAATCAATTAAGTGTTAGCTAGGAGGAATAAGTCTTACCATCCATAAGATGCATAGCCCCTCTCTAAATATGATATTGGTAGCTGTAACATGTCAGGCAGCATGAGAGCATTCTTTAATCACAGAAATGAATAGGGATGACGTGATGCTAGTGTACATGTATATCTTACCTCCTTATCAAGTAACTTGCTGTGCATGCCACTCTTGAAAAACAAGTCCTGCAAGATTCAGAAAGATAGATAGAGAGAAGCAAAAGGAGATAAACTAAAGCAAAAAGCAATTCATTGTTACTTTATCGCTTTCCTCGCTTCTCATACTATTCTCTATTCTTAACTTCTACAAGTTGAGAGAGAGAGAGAGAGAGTAAGAATAAAAATACCACATAGCACTGTAGTTACATCGAGATTGACACTGTCATCAAGTGACGATGAGCAACTAGAAGCAGTCTCTATTAGCGGCTTGCTAGTTCCAGCTGCTCCATTATCACTAGTATCACCTGAACTACCACTGATTGAATTAGTGGCACTACTACTAACTAAAAAATTTTAAAATGGAGCAGTTAGGGGGAACTTGCTATTATTATACAGTACATACGAAGAGAAGCAGATTTCCTTCTTGACTTTGAGCAAAAACACATATTCAAATGAAAAGGCCTATAGTGGAGAAGCTAAAAGTTATTAATTTTAAATAAATAATTCCTGTTACGTGTGAAAGCAAGGGACCCAGAAAGTGCCAATGGCACATAATCCAATAACAAATAAGACAATGGGAGGAAGAGCAAGAGCTATCCCATAATGATAAGCTTATAAGAAAAAAATAAATATACGAAGCCTCATTTTTGATACCTACCAAAATATGATTGAACAATCTTTAAAGTTATATTAACAGAATCAGTTGACAGCTGGGTCTGACTTGGATCGGTAAAGCACAAAGAAGGATCAGCTTTTTTTAGGACGATGAAGAAATTGTCATACTCTATGGTCTTATTCTAAAAATGAACAAAATAATAATCCATGCACATTTCACATGCATATCTACTCATTCATTCAAACATGTTCCCTTCTGCTTTTACTTTCTCTCTTCTCTCCCCCTCTCTTTCTTACAGCGACAATATTCAAAGAGGCTGATGTAGTCATTGTCTGATAGACTCCCTTAGAGCCAGCGCTCACAAGCACATCATTCACAGGACACTGAAAGATACAAAGATAACAAATGACTCAATTGCAATCAAAAGTTGATAATTAGCAGCTGCTATATGGGCACCTGCTATAGGCTACTTATCACATTTGCCAAGAATAGCACACAATCCACACATTTTAAAAATGCAGCCATCATCTCTATACTATAGTGCTTGTCTATAGTATATAACTTACTGTTGCATTTTGAACAGAGACAATGACACAGGCATTCTCATTGTCAGAGGATGCTGTCACTTGAACTATACGTACATGTCCATCTGAGTTGTTTCTCTGAGGAAACTTGAAATAATATAACTGCAATGAAAAAAACAAATAATTATAATTATAAGACAGTAATTCAGGAGCTGTAGCTTTACTTGAGGATCATCCTCTGTAACTGTAATGTTTTTATCTTCACCCAATCTATGAATGAGTAATAATAAAAGCATTATATGGGAAAGATAACAACAGATATTTTAAGATAACATCAATAGTGAAAGGTGGTTCCTGTTACTCACTTCAGTTGAAATCCAACCACAGGTTTTACAGTTATGTTATAAGGAACATCCTCTGTATTACTGGTAAATACATCAATATACATGGTAACATCCTCCTCTATAGTGTTTTCATCACGAAAAACCGTACTACATATTGTCCTTGAGGACCTACAAATGATATTTAGAAAATTGTAATTTTTATAAGTTTGCCAAGGGAATTCTTGTCCATCGGGTGTTAGTAAACATGGCAGCTGCATATGCAAGGTAGCTTCTTCTATTGAAGCATTCTCATAGATCTATCTCTTACGTGGAGTTTGCGAACAGTTTCCAAGTCTGTACATTCTCATCGGATCTGGTTACGAATACAAGTGGTTGTCTCTTGTCACTGATCCCTTTAGTCTCTGTGGTCACCCTTAGAACCTATAAATGTGAGAAAAGGAGGAGTATACATAGTAGGAGGAGGAGGAGGGAGAAAAACTTACTGGATATTCATCAATTACTTCACCAGAGCAGTTGGAGTAGTTATTGACCACGGTCCATACATCTGTATCATATTTAACGACACTACCATCTATGACACTGCAGGGATATATATCGTGCTGGCTGGAAGAGTTGCTTTCAAACTTTCCCTTAGCTATAGAGAGGAAGAGAAGGAAAGAAACAGCTAAGACCATCTTCACTTCAGTCACGTGTGGGCAGGAACTACACCTCTTGGGTTACCTCCCATATGTCATGGAGATCAATGTGAAATGGATTTTAAAGACAAGAATATTCTTCTTTCTCTTTCAAGTACTTTATTCTTTATTTATATATTTTGTTAGCTCCATCTTCACAGGTAATGGTCTCTATATTCCCTGACCATCAGCACTCAAAAAACAATGCATTTATAGCTCCGTATCGTTTAAAACCTCACCCTCTGATAATCGAGTTCTTATTTGGAGGATTCGATAACTGGGACTCCGAATATTACCTTAACGTTGCTAATGTGGGTGGGTACCAAATCAAAGAGTGCCACGCCTTCTTTCCACTGTATCCGTTTCTAATGAGATTCATGACCTTGTTCTTATACAGGTATACACCGATTGGACACTTCATTCCTTTTCATAGTCTGTTAGTGATAAGTGGTGTGACAATAAGTAACATATCATTCATCATCTCAGCAATCACTTTATATCTACTTACCATTAAAATATTTACTATAGCAGCTGTTGATTACAATAAGTACACATCTACTAATAAAACTTCTACAAATGAAACTTTGTCATCATTCTCTTCCAGCATCAATGAATCCACGGGCTCATCTCCTTCATCATGCGTTCTAAAAAGACATCCAGTTCACACCTCACCATTGACTAGTCCTCTAGATGCTTTACCATCAGTTATTCCACCAAATCTTTCATTACCAATGCCTTCACTTGATGCTACATCTTCACTCACACACAATGTACCTGTTAGTTTACCCTCTTCATTGAATGATCAGGTGATATTGTCTCCAGAACTGATAAAAGAGATTGCATTTCTCTCAGTACTGCTCTACACTGTTAATCCAGCAACCATATTTATGTGTACTGCATACACTGAGAGCCTGTTTGCCCTCTTTACTTTCTCAGGTATGCTGGCTGTCTCTCACTCTCGACTCTACATTTCTTCACTTCTCTTTGCTGGAGCATGCGCCACACGGTCCAATGGTATCGTACTAATTGGTTTTATATTATATCATCACATGGTGCACGTCTTGAAAGATTTCGCTGCTCGTGGTTCCATACTTGGAACAGGAATGAGGATCTTGAAACATGGGTTTGAAATGATGCTACAAGTGTTGATTGCACTCCTTCCATTCCTTGCTTTCCAGATGTACAGCTATCACCAGTTCTGTCCCGATCCTGCTAAAACCAACATAACCCTCTGTAATGCAACACTTCCTCTTCCTTACTCTTATGTGCAGAAGGAATACTGGGAGCTTGGGTTTTTAAACTTCTACGAATTAAAGCAGATACCTCACTTCATCTCTGCTACACCAATGTTCATACTAGCTGGTATTCCATTGTGGAGATACTTTAAGCTGGCAGTTACTAACACAGGGCACTGGCTGTTCTCAAATAAACAAAGATATGACAGACATCAAATGTAAAGTACTTCAATAATAATTATCATTTTCAATAATGCTGGTTAACATTGCACAGGTACATTGATTCTGTTCTATTCCCTTACATGATGCAGCTCCTGTTTCTTTTAATTGTTGCCGCCTTTTTCATGTACATACAGGTAATTACTACATCTTACAAAAATAACAATTTTTAAAAATGGCCATAACTTGAAAAAATTAAGTCGGAATTGGCTCAAACTTTTTACACAGCATAAAGACATCAATATGTATCACAAAATGTAATAAAAATTTGGGGTGATCTCGGAGCCATTTTTTGGAAAAAACCCATGGGCTATAGCCTTGGGTATTTTTTAGAATTTTGACGTTTTCTAAAAATGGCCATAACTTGAAAAGTTGAAGTTGGAATCAGCTCAAACTTTCTACACAGCATAAGGACATCAATATGTATCAGAAAATGTAATAAAAATTGGAGGTGATTTTTTCACCATTTTTTGAAAAAAAGCCTTTTTTTACCCTTTTTTTTGAAAAAAAGGGTATTTTTAGATTTTGGCAAATTGTTCTTTTAAATTTGGATAGGTTGTCACTCGATTTGTTGTTTCATCCTCTCCTGTCATTTACTGGTTTGCTGGAGTAGTGTTTCTACCAAAGAGCACTGAGATTAGCTCTACTGCATCTAATGCTGTGAGAGAAAAAAATGGGAAAGGAAGAGAAGATTCTGTATTCACATATATGAAAAGACTGGTTCATTCAAGTCAATGGTCGCATGTAGAACAGTATGATTTAAGACAGTGGATCACAGTTTATTGTGTAATATATATTATCATTGGATTTGTAATGCATTGTAACTTTTTACCCTGGGTCTAAATAAATTTCTCTTTAATAATCTACAATAATTATAAAAGGTTATTAACTAGAAAATGGAACCGAATATCAGTGAGACAACACTCTGCAATGAAGAATACAACGGGACGCTCTTGGTAGCTATCAACAGCATAAGGACGGTAACGGCTGGGTTGTCTTCCCTGATCTGCCTCTCTTCAATCTTCTTGCTATTGTTCATCATGTGTAGGAGAGGCCCTAGTGGAGACAGAGACGATAACACACTCAATAACAAACTCATACTCTCATTCCTCTTCTCGGCCCTAATATATTCAATAGCTACAATATTCCAGTGGGTCAGGCTGGAGTATGATCAAGAAGACTCTCATTATTCCACTGCCTGTGAAGTCGTTGGTTTTCTAGTTGGGTACTTTGGCTGGACGCTAATGCTAAAGTCCTTTTTCCTCATTTATCACCTTTTTCACATTCTGTATAAAGGGAAACCAGAGAAGTCCTGTATTGATTTGACACCGAACTCTTGTAGCAATATCATCAATAACGTCGCTAAAATGGCCCCAGGAATCACTCGTCTGGTCGTGTACATTGTCATATCGTATCTCTTTCCACTTCTTTTCGTGTGGATACCGTTGATACCAGGGTTGAAAGGTTACGGGTCATCGGGTTACTGGTGCTGGATTGTAGTGTGTACTAGTAATGATGATTACTACAAGATCGGTTATGCAGAACAGGCCTTGATCTGGTATATACCAGTTATAATAATCAGTATTGTCATCATTGCATTGATCGTCACCATTATTATAAAACTAGTTCAACTAGAAGAAAAAGTAGCCATTTCTTGTCCTCTTCTCTCCTTCCCCATTCTCTTCCTGTTTGTAAACATTATAGCTTTCATGAATCGCGTTGTAGTTGCTAGTAGACACCATCCACTGCCCACACTAGCTATACTGCACAGTCTCATTGACCCACTCTGGGGGACAATGGCTGCCTTAACCCTCTTTGTGTACATTGGAGCAGTTCATAGAGAGTCCTTTAAATGCTGTAGAACAACATCAGATGAACTAGTGGCTCTTCATACTCTTATAGACACTGAAGATGAAGAGAGTGAGGAGTGTGAGACTCAAGCGTGTGATGGTGTCCCTATTGAAGTACATGTAGAATGCAGTAACAATAGTACTTAATAGTCAACTCCTATTCCTGTCATTACATTGTTTACTGTTGCGTGTCATTTTTTTGTTGTTTATTGTTTTTTGTCATTTTTTGTTGTTTATTGTTTTATAAAAAATTTGATAAGATTGTCAGCAGCTGTTCCAGGAGTGAGCCGACCTGCCATGACACTTTCCTCTTGATCCTTTAAATGATCATTAACTACTGGATCAGAATGAAACCTAACATGATAAAATCAAGTTAATGTACACATTAAAGACATAAAAATAATATTAAAGTGTTTCCCGACCTTTCCATCAGCTGCCATTGTATGTGATACCATAGCCAGGTCTTCTGCTGTAACATTCTCTTTTCATTAAAAAGATCCTTCTCCTGTAATAAGAGACATATATGTACACGAGATGAAGATTAGGTATTGTTATTAAGTACTAAAAGTGTTTCTTTATATTCTGTCATTGTCTCCCAAGCTTCATTAACTCCTTCATTAGTGAAAGAGGAAACTCTTAACACCTACGTGTAGTGGGGAATAGAGAGGTTGAAGAAAGAGAAAGAGGTAAATAGTTTGTGCTGATTAAAGACTGAAGTGGCTCACACGTGGTTTCCATGGATAATTCAATGCTCTCCTAACAAGTCTTAAAGCACTTGAGTACTCTGTTTGAATCCTACGAGCAGCTGGCAATAGATCTCCATCAGCTTTTGTCACTAAAACCAAATCTGCCAATTCAACTATGCCTTTCTTTAGACCCTGCACAAAAAAGAGAGAAAGAGTAAAAATTAGCAGATCTACACTTCTAGGTCTACCTGCAGCTCGTCACCAGCTGCTGGAGGAACCAGCAACACAAACATGTCCACCATATCAGCTACTACAGTCTCAGACTGACCGACTCCCACTGTCTCCACTATGATGACGTCATAGCCGGCACCTTATAAGGCAATAATTAGATCTTTTTTTAGCTAATAATAATAGTAATAATAATACCTTCACAAAGGAGTATAGCCTCCTGTGTATTCCTGGTGACACCTCCTAAATACAGTAAACCATTCATACACATTATGTCTGTTATATATCACACAGGTCACTCATACCTAGTGTGCCTCCAGAGGGTGATGGGCGTATGAAGGCATTTGGATCAGAGGATAGTTTAGGCATTCGAGTCTTATCCCCAAGAATAGACCCGCCAGTTCTTGAAGAGGAAGGATCTACTGCCTACCTGAGACAAAGAGATGAGCATAAGCTACTACATGTATGTACTATACTATAACAGTCAGGGTTTCCCACAGGATTTGGGCATAGTATAATGTAGATTTTTAGGAGAGAATTCTGCATTTTTATAATTTTTCTGATACATATATGTGTTCTTAGGCTGTGTAGAAAGTCTGAGCTGATTCTGATCAAATTTAACTTTTTAATAAATTTTTAAAGTTGCTCCAAAAGCCATGTAGTGCTTGTGAGCTCATGAAGCTCATACTTTTTAGCTCACTTAGCATGCTTTGTGGGAAACCCTGATTATAGTATCAAATGATGTGACATAATTGGATAACGTTTTAATGCAAAATGATGATAAACCTCTCTTCAGTATTGAAACTCACCAAAACAGCAACTCTGTGATCCAAACCAGTTAAAGATTTGCCTAACGTTTCGATCAGTGTTGATTTACCAGCTCCAGGAGAACCCGAAAAACCTATCCTAGGGAGACAACAATAAAATAATTATTACTGTTATTTCTCACCTAAATGTATCTCTAAGTTTATTCGATTTCTTTAATTTATTTCTGTGAGAGAGAAGAGACGTCAGGAGCCATTGAGCTTGCTGGTGCTTCCCTGGGTGTTTAGTCTCGACTAATGTTGGTAGAGAAATAGTCACGTGATAGCACGTGACCACTTACTAAGAGTGATTGCTCTGGCTAGATGAGCTCTGCTTCCTTCCAAAACTCCAGCGAGGAGCTCCCTAGTTTCATTATGTACAGATAAACCATGAATATATGAAACCTGCAATGCAATAAAAAATACCACAACAACAATTATAATTTTATTTTAATAAACCCACACTATTTTTTAAAATTCTAGCAGACATGGTGACTAACAGGCGGGACCAACAGGTCCAACACACACCCATGCCATACAAAAAATGATATTCTCACAACACGTGTTCGCACGTGAGTAGATCTAAAAATACTTTGAGCTTAATCATAGCAAAAATAATAGAGACTATACGTAACCGTAGTTACCGTACTCTCTATTATAATGATCATAGAACTAATACACAGATCGTGAATTCAAATTTAATATGACGACGACGCAACAACAACAAACTTGACCTTAAAATGAACGTTACTTTGACAGAGACATTCTGCAATGAAGAATATAATGGCACATTCCTGGTCATTGTCAACAGCATAAGGACGGTAACGGCTGGGTTGTCTTCCCTAATCTGCCTCTCTTCAATCTTCTTGCTATTGTTCATCATGTGTAGGAGAGGCCCCAATGGAGACAGAGATGACAACACACTTAATAATAAACAAATACTCTCATTCCTTTTCTCGGCCCTAATATATTCAATAGCTACAGTATTCCAGTGGGTCAGGCTGGAGTATGATCAAGAAGACTCTCACTATTCCACTGCCTGTGAAGTCGTTGGTTTTCTGGTTGGGTACTTTGGTTGGACGCTCATGCTCAATACGTTATTCCTCATTTATGACATTTTTTACATGCTTTATAAAGGGAAGCCAGAGAAGTTTTGTATCAAATCAATACCAAATTCTGATTCACCGCAATATAAATCTGCTCATTTGTTTTTTTATATTACTATATCATATGTCTTTCCGCTTCTTTTCGTATGGATACCATTGATACCAGGGTTGAAAGGCTACGGGTCGTCGGGCTACTGGTGCTGGATTGTAGTGTGTACTGGTGATGATGATTACTACGAGATTGGTTATGCAGAACAGGCCTTGATCTGGTATATACCAGTTATAGTAATCAGTATTGTCATCATTGGATTCATTGTCACCATTATTATAAAACTAGTTCGACTGGAAGAAAAAGCAACCATTTCTTGTCCTCTTCTCTCCTTCCCCATTGTCTTCCTGTTTGTAAACATTATAGCCTTAATTAATCGTGTTGTAGTTGCTAGTAAACACCATCCTGTACCTGCACTAGCTATATTACACAGCCTCATCGACCCACTCTGGGGGACAATGGCTGCCATAACCCTCTTTGTGTACATTGGAGCAGTTCATAAAGAGTCTTTTAAATGTTCAAATCAGTTAGATAATCAAATTGTTCGCTCTTTTATCGATGACACTGAGCATGATAATGAGGATGATGAAGATCAGTATCAAGTTGTTGAAGACCGGTATTGATGAAGATCAGATGAATTGTTTGAATGAACTTAAGAGAGACAGTGACATAAACTCTACAAACTATGCCATTAAATTTGTTTTTGATTAATTTTGTATAAACATTGGACTGCCATTATAGAAATTGAAACATGCACATACTAGTAGTGAAGAGGTGAGCCAAGTCGGCCAACACACCTTTGCAGACTCTGTGGAATCATTTTATCAAAAAAGTTATTATTAAATGTCAAGGGTTATACAACAATAGGGCAGTACATATCATGCAGTTAGTTAGCATAAGGAGGCAGCATCATTGTAAAGTGATACATGCTAGACTCCTCCCCTTTCCGATAAGGATACCACATAATGTAATTAGTACCCCACAAGTTATTAAACAAATTGAAACTGAAACCTTCATTCACGTCAGGATCTTCCATGGGAACTGGGAAATAATTATCACCACCAACACTTAAAATGGGAGCATCCCACGACTTGAGACTGAGTGGAACAGGATTACCATATTTGACACCATGATCACTACCATGGACGTGCTTACTGCCATTCTTAATGACATCCAATGCATTCACATACTGGCCTAATTTACTGATGGAGAGGGTTTTAGGAGAAACCAACTGAGGATTGGGTTTGAATAGAATAGAGAGAGACTCGGGTATGCGAGTTGACGTCTTGTTTATGACGTAAACAAATATTTTGATTGGCAATGGCTCAGTCGAGGAAGGCATGTTGGAAGCATTAGGTAATTTAATGTCCATTGCAACTTCTTGGGAAGCACCATATTCTGTTACACTCTGTGGGAGTGAGAAGGTGCCCCTTAGCCTGTAAATGATACCATCGCCATGATCATCATCATCATCTTTGATTTTAGAGCTTTTCTTTTTATGACTTGATTCCTCTTTCTTCCAACAGGAATTGAGGCTGACGGTGTCAATGATGTGAGTCGTCTCGGCCTCATCAAGACCAGGTTTACCGAGATCTTCGTAAGCATAATCGAGGGAGCGATCAATGAGGTAGTTGTCTAGAAAATTCTTATAATCTTCAGCAGTGTAGGTAGTGTATCTAATCTGCCCAAGGGGGGAGTCTGGGCCAGTGGAATACTCTCTGTGTTCTGTTCCTCTTTTATCCACCAAAGAAGCTAAGCCAAGTGTAGAGTTATCAAAAGCAAGGGATATGCTTCCGTCCACAGGAGCATCACATGGTATCTCTTGAAAACCATTCATGTTTAAAGTACCATCAAAATACAAGTCCTTAATGGCCGAGTCTATTCTATGATGTAGCTCGTGATCCCCTAGAGCATCCAGTGCATACTTCAGTGCCCATTCTCTCTGTTCGGTCCAAGACTCCACAACATCAATGTAGTTGGGCATGGTGTACTGCAAATAATGAAACTTCAAATTGTCCCAACTGGAGTTATCCTTTAAATATTTCTTTATGTCTTTGCCCCAGGTGTGCTCGCCGTATTTCAATAGGTAAGCCGAGAAAGCATAAATACGAGGATCGTGAAGACTGCAAGTTCCGTCGGCTAAACACTCAGACCTAAGGTGCATCATTAGTCGAAACTGAGTTGATTTCCACGGGTCACTCCCTGCACCATGAATCCATGTATCACCAATCTCCTTAGTAACAATGGGCAGGAGATCTTTGTGACTGACAAGTTCTTCAACAAACTCGTTATAACTAGAAGCAACAATCTCAGCATTGGGAAATATTTCTCTGATGTCGTCATAGTTCTTTACGACTTCGGCAAAAGCGGGTGGGCCAGTATTATCGGAACGAATAGCAAAAGCAAGAGCTGTGTACATACCAGGCACATAAACAATGTCAGAGAGACTAATACCCAATCCAGACTCAATCCCATATCCGTGTGGGTGCCACATCCCAATAACTTCGGAATCACTCTCTTCATCTTTCCAGACAAAAGCACTTGGTACAGCTGGAGGCATGCAGGCTGTATTCACGCCAACTGTTATCGCCTGGACTCCTTCCTTCTTCATGATGGGTATCACTGAGCGAGAGAGACCAGGAACATCTCTTTGACTCATCGCCACTGGGCGAAACCCCAACTGTTCAGAGACATTAGCAGTAAGAAGGAACCCGAAATCCATTAGGGAGCTGTCGTAGACCTCAGGTTCAGCATTAAAAGGGAAAGAATGCCAGACGATGATACCATCCGTAACAGCATTTTTGAAATCACTGATGGCAGTATCGTCAGGACAATGGAGTCCTGATTCAAGTGGACAGTTTAGATAGAGCCAGACCAGATAAGAATGAGTAGTAAAGACAAGCTTCTCTTCTCTGTCCATATGGAGAAGCTCCTGGCCCAACTGGATAGCCTGAGGAAAGAACTCGTCAAAATATCTGTTGACGATGTTCACTAAAGTGTCAGCAAACCCCAGATCAAGATGACAGGATGATATAAGGTAGACTTTATCAACCGACAAACGTGCCTCAATGGTTAACTGGGTTTGAGGAAGGTACCTCAAGTCCTCCCATTGAGCAAAGGCAATGGGAGGAGGAGGGAGGATAAGGAAAAGAGAGAGGCATACAAAGAGTGATAAAGGAGACATGTTGACTGACAGAACAACACAACAGGAAATTTTATCAAAACATGCACAGCATGTGCTCAATTAAGTGAATTCATAGGATTTATGGTAAGGGTATGAATCTATGTAGCATGATTGTGGTGGGTATGTGTATGCATATATAAGTTTATCTTTTTCTTTTCTTTGGTTCCAGTTCAAAAGGATTGTCATCATCATTAGATGAACTTCCTTGTGTTAGCTGAGAAAGAGAGAGAGAGAGAGTCATCATGATGTGTACATATGTATGAGAACAAAACTATCACACAGCATACATGATAATTATTAAGAATATGCACATTTTCACTCTTGCAACTAAATGTATACACAATTACACATACGACTTACATCAATTGTTTCATCTATTGCACTAATGTTTCTTGACCTGCATGAAATTTGTCAAAATATTATAGTGAGATTAGTGACTAGATAATGACTCACTTTTTAGAAGGATTTGCATTAAATTCAAAATCAACATCATCACTATTGTCCTGTTAATACATAAAATATTAAAAAACACAAAGTTAAAATCCAATTACTTCATCATAAACAATGGATCGCTTTGGAGTTCTCTTGGACACCTTTAAAAGCATAAAACACTGACTATTCATATTTAAAATATAGTCTCACTTGTTTTTTGGCTGGTGTTGCTTTAGCAGTACTAGCCAAAGACAGCTGAATGGGTGTGGTAGCAACTGCACACGTGCAACAATCATAACAAACACAAGTCACTATCATTTACCTGATGATGCCACAGATGAAGAAGCAGTAGATTTATTGCTAGTTTTCTTGCTTCTAGTTGTACCAGTGGCTCCTCCTCTACCCCTACCCCTCCCCCTCCCTCTGCCTCTACCACGTCCTCTAGTTGATGTACCGGAATTGTTTAAAGTTTCTTCTTTCTCTCCACTGTCTTGCTTATCTTCATCACTCTCGTCACTAAATCTGTTACTAGCTTGAGGAGGACGTGATGTTCTTATGGCCTCTATATGCTGTGAAATTAAAATAAAGTTTTTCCACACACATACACACACCCACACACACTATGATTTTATTATAATATTCATAACCTACTTCAGCTGTGGATTGTTCTTGCCTCTTCATTATCTCTTCTCTGTTCTTTTCCAACTATTTTACAATTAAAAACCTCATTCTCTTCCTTGCTCTCCATTTCCCATCCTCACTTGCTCTACTATTTCTGACACAGGAAAAGTCTCAGTCTTCAAATACTCTTGAGTCTGCTGCAAAGAATATTTCACAAAACTAAAAATAAAAGAACCAATGCTTAACAATGCTACTAAAACTTGCTCTCACTCTGAGATTGACTCCCTCTCATTCTTTTCTACAAACTCATCAACGGCTTCTACAAGGTTCTTCTCAGAGAGAAGAGAGAGCCTGTCCTGTAGCAGTGACTCTTTAAGAAGCGAAGCTATCGTTTGATGTCCTCCTTCTTCGTCAGTGGCAGCAATTCCTTCAATTATTTCGTTACTATCTGAATGACTCCCACCTAAAAAAATGTGCTCAAACTATCATGACTAATGGGCACTTACTGCCAGACAAGGAAGATGGCTGTCTTTGTCTAAACCAGCTCAGTATTGATTTTGGATTTGCAACTTTATCCACAAAAAACTGACTAAATCTTGCATGACTCAAAGGGGAATATCCTTGACTGTAATCCACCTGAAAGATATAAAATTGAAATTATTCAATGCAGGAAAGTAGTTGCCTCTATAGCTCAGCGGTTAGAGCACTGGTCTTGTAAACCAGGGGTCGAGAGTTCGAATCTCTCTAGGGGCTACTTTTTTTTCTTTTTTTTTTCTCTCACTTACATATAATTTTATTAATGGAAGTTTGTTTGAGCCAGAAGATTCTTTTCCAGCTGTCAAAATTAATTGTTTTACCTAAATATAAAAGAAAATAACATAGTAGAGGTGTTAACGCTTAAAATTTTCATAAAATTCCTGCAATTTTTCCCATCTGGTGTCCCTATCAACAATAATAAAGTACAAAATTAAAGGATTACCTTTTCAATTAAATAGTTGGATATTTTATCGTCCTCAAGTGGGTCTATATCAGTTTTGGAGAGAGAAACCGTGTCCATCACAAAAGGACGGACAGTTTTCAAAGGAACCGGATCGATACGAAAATCAGTCCCCTTGATATAGAGAATGCCAACATGCCTAAAGAAAGAAAGAGGTCAATTTTTAATAATCAAAAGCTCACTTCTTAGCAGCTTCTCCTTCACACAAACTAGTAGCTACAGAGGAACCAGGTTGATAAATGTAAAAACCCATCTTATCATCGTGGTCGTCTTCGTCAGGGTCTTCAGGTTCTCCGCCCATAGCGTTGATATCAGTGAGGGCCTGGTACTCGGGGGAAGTGTGGGATCTGTGTTCGTGGCCCCAGACCACAAGATCGAGAAACGAGGGAAGGAAAGTAGCAGGAATGTAATTAGTAGCCGTATGACGAGACCTAGGCGATACAGGATGAGGAGGATGAAAAATAGAGGGGAATAAAGAAGTAATTGTACATGTACTGAAAACGAATGTGGTTGCGTTAGGTATTTTTTTCAAATGTCTCAACTCTCAAATGATAATCAATGTGTGCACACTAGGGCCGCTTAGGAAAGAGACGATTGCCCCAGAATCGTAGCGTCATTTTAAAAGTAAGCCCCTCACCTGTTTTGGTGTATCACGAATAAATTAAACCATTTCTTCTGATCTTCTTTCGGCTGGAGGAACTTCACTTTCCCGAGACGAAACATCCTGTTAAGCCTCTCGTCTCGTATGCTACCCAAACCATAGAGTGCCAGCATTGTACTACCTAAGGGAGGGAGAGATTGAGTAGAGGGACTTTGACCCAATTTTTAAGCAACTTTTAAAATTCATAAAAAATCACATTTTGATCAGATTCAGCTCAAACTTGATATACAGCATAAGTACATGTATATGTATCAGAAAAAATTATTAAAATGCAGAACTCTCTCAGAGCCATTTTTGACAAAATTCGGCTAATAACCCTGTACTATAGTACAGGGAGTTTGGCCTGACTCTAGAGCAACTTAAAAAAAACAAAAAAATAAGAGAGGTGATATCATAATACTGCACACCTACAAAACACATCCCATCTCTCTCTGTAAGGAGAACAGAACAAAGTGACTATCAACCATTAAATATGTAGAGGATGCATTGATGCTTTGGCTTCACAAAGCTAATGCACACTAACAAACATTTCCCCTGCAAACAGGACACCAACGACACTTAATGTGTCCATAAATTTACATCATTTCCCTTGTCATGGGAAATTCAAATTTGATAAAGGAAAGAGTTTAATGACAACACAGGTCAGCAAGACTGCACCTGTAGTGATGGGATACAGAACATTGGTGCTACAATTAATTAATTACAAGAACACATGTTTTATACTTTACATGTGTACACGTACAGAAACATGCTAACTACTACACTAAACAGTAAACACTGTACCTTTTTGCAATAAAAGTGGAGATATTGTAATATTCTCAACATCTTTTGCCTTTCCAAAATAATTCACCAAATTCGAGACACTTAGTATGTCCAGTGAGCTTAAGTTATGATCCTGAGAGAGAGAGAGAGAGAGAGAGAGAGAGAGAGAGAGAGAGAGAGAGAGAGAGAGAGAGAGAGAGAGAGAGAGAGAGAGAGAGAGAGAGAGAGAGAGAGAGAGAGAGAGAGAGAGAGAGAGAGAGAGAAAGAGAGAGAGAGAGAGGAGGGGAGAGAGAGAGATGAAGAAAGTGCAAAAGAGGATCTTTACCCCAGTTGGATCATCGTGGTTTCCATGAATAGAGAAAACAGGCATGCCGATGTTATAATTAGGATCTTCATAATTAACATTAGGAAAACTGAGAGAAAATAATTATAAATTAAAATGATATTAATTTAATAATAATTATAATTATTATTTTTATGGTACCTCGAATGAAAGTTGATTGACGGATCACTGCGGAATTCAATAGGGCAAGGACGGGATCCGATACAGAACTGACGAAGGAGCTCCATCGTACGGAAAATCACTTGACGCGAGGGTTTGTTCTCATGAAACATATCACCACCAAGAAGAATAAAATCAACCTAAAATTCATTTTTATACAAGTTAGGGCAGAGATTTGAAACGTTTATAATAAATGATATATTATATCTTACGTTTTGATCTCTGGCAATGGCTAGTATCTCTTTGAAGGTTTCTAAGCTATCGTTGCCTCTGACTGGGTCTTTCTCCATGTAGCCAAGGTGATTATCACTTGCTGTGTGGAATAAGGAATTATTTAAATTTAAAAAAGTTACCTATTAATATCTTCATCATGTTGGTGTCTTCTGATTCCTCATTTTGGACTCCAGGCTCAGTCTTAACATTGGATGCCATCAGTTTTACCACGTGGGTATATTTCCAATTGAAGCTCACCAATAAGCCACACCTCTGACACACCTCCAAAGTTAACGGAGATGAACGGAGGAGGTTTACTCTTTTAGTATACGGACGGGAACGGTGGTAGCCATTCTCGTGAGGAAGCCAGTTTCTTAGCAGGAGAGGTAGAGGGAGAGAGAAGAGATTAGGACCGTCCTTCTGAAAAGGAAGAAAAGCCAGTATTATACAGAGAGAAACAAAAAGGACCCCTCCTGTATCTCTGTTAGTTATAGCGAGAAATGGCTCGACCGGGTCCCTCGGGTGGGGGCAAGAAAGGCTTTCTCTCTTTCTTCCATCAGCAGCTCCAGTCAGGAAGCACGCCCAAGCCAGCCATTGACAAGAAGACGGTGGAGAAGGCCTGGAAACTGATGGACAAGGTGGTCAACCTGTGCGCCAATCGTCGGATGAATCTCAAGAACTCACCTCCTTTCATACTGGACATACTCCCAGAGACCTACCAGCACCTCAGGAAAATATTCAAGAACTATGAGACCCAGTTGGACTTCCTCAACGATAATGACTATTTCAAGATATTCATGGAAAACCTCACGAACAAGTGCAAACAAGCGTCACAGCTATTCAAGGAGGCCAAGGAGAAGATCTATGATGAAACCTCGAGCCACAGACGCTCGCTAACTAAACTGAGTCTAATATTCAGTCACATGCTAGCGGAGCTAAAGGCTCTCTTTCCTGATGGGATCTACGCTGGCGGCTCTTATCGTCTGACGAAGCTGGACGCCAGCGATTTCTGGACTAGCTCTTTTGGATCAAAGTGAGTTGGGTGGGGTCAGAATTTATTATATGTACATGTATACTCTGTGTGTGTGTGTGTGTGTGTGTGTATGTGTGTGTGTGTGTGTGTGTAATGATTATTATGTCTATTTTGGCCTCTTCACCCTCTCTCTCTCTCCCTCTCCTCCTCTCTCCATTAATGCTTTGATTGCTTTATGTGTGGAGTTTGTGTTTGTTTTATTCAAATTGAAACTAAGTCTCTCTCCTCTCTATTGCTTGTTCTGGTCTGTGAGCGGCTCTCTCTGTCTGTGTATGTTTATTAATTTGCAATACTAACACAAGAAGATTAATAATATATGTATTCTTGTTGTTGCAAGAAGGACAAAGAGAGAGAGAGAGGTAGAGGTAGAGGTAGAGAGAAGAGGAGAGAAAGACTAGGAGAGCATGGCGGAGAGAAGGAGGGAGAGGAAAAGAGAAAGTATGTTCATATTATATTCAAGAGAGAGAGAGGGGGGCATGGAGTAAATAGAGACAGGACAGATAGTAGATTTTCAGTAATTTACTTTGTTTGGCACAGGATGCTGTTGTTAGTTATACTTTTTCCGGACTACTAATCACCATAATTACCATTATTATTATTATTATTATTATTATTATTATTATTATTATTATTATTATTATTGTTGTTTGCATTGCAGTGATATTACATGCTTTCCTTTTCTTGTCTTATTCTTGGAAAAACCTACAACCAATTATATGATACATTTTTGTTGCATATCTTTATAGTATATTCCTCTTTATGTGTAGCATGATAGCATCCATCCACTATTCATCTTCCTTCTTCCCTCCCCCCCCCTCTCTCTCTCTCTCTCTCTCTCTCTCTCTCTCTCTCTCTCTCTCTCTCTCTCTCTCTCTCTTTACAGTAGTCCTAGTCTTAATTCCTTTTTATTGGTTATAATGACATTGCTAAATCAACATCAGGCCATCAGCTCAGATTTACTTTTTTGTCTATTGCCATTCGTGTCCATGTACATTTCTTTATTGTCCCACCTGTTCTTATTAATATTTGTATAATGTATATTTGCTTTTTTTTCCCTATTGTACACAAGATATCATGTGTCTCATTTATTTACATGTATGCATAATTATGTGTAAAATGCACTTGTTTACATGTAAGTCCTCATTTAATATCTACTCATTGTAGTACAATACTATGTATTGACCTATTGAAGTATTTAATGCGTACATTTGTGTAGTGTGTGTGTGTGTGTGTAGTGTGTGTAGTGTGTGTGTGTGTGTGTGTGTGTGTGTGTGTGTGTGTGTGTGTGTGTGTGTGTGTGTGTAGTGTGTGTGTGTGTGTTTGTGATTCATATTCTCATCACTCTCAGTATATGTTTTGTCAGCTGTTATTGACAATGGGCCACTTGCAGGTGCAATATGCATGTACATGTAGATACTACATGTCCATTTATGTACAAAAAGGTGTACATGTATATACAAGTGTACATACATGTTGAGAGAAAGAGAGAGGGAGACAGAGAGAAAGGGGTGGAAATAAACCCGAGCAGCTGTCACAGGAATCTTTGAGTATGCCTTTTGATAATTTGAGATTTTGGGACAAGTTTGATATTTTGTATTAGCCCAGCTAGTGTTTACATAATACTACCGTCTATCCATACAGTAATTTTAGATCCTTCCTCAGGGACCAATTAGGATGTGTACATGTACACATGCTCACACTTTGTACTACACGTACATGTACATGTACAGTATATGTGTGTTCCATATGAATTGTAATATATTCCTGGATGTCTGTTCGATGTCATTTGGCTGGTAGTATAAATGATAATAAATTAACAGAGACTTTATTGGATTTGATGTTATTTTGGTGACTTCTGTTGCTTGTCTTTCCTTCCACTTTCACATCCTCCCTCCATTTTTACACCCACATGTACCTGCTCAGTATTTATTTATTCATTTATTTCTCTCCTTCCCCCTCTCTCTCCCCCCCTCTCTCTCCTCCCCCCTCTCTCTCTCCTTCCCCTTTCTCCTCCCCCTCTCTCTCCTCCCCCTTTCTCTCTCCCTCCCTCTCCCCCCCCCTCTCTAGGGCTATTGTTCCATGGCGCACATTCAGGGCCATACTTCATCAGTGTCATCCCATTCATTCCCCATTAGAAGCTATGGCACTGAAGTCTACCA